TGAGAATTTTTTTCTAAGAAATTCCCAGGTGATATTGCTGATGCCACTGGTTCAGGGATCATTGACAACGATTGATTTAGAGAAACTGAAAACCAGGGTTAGTGTCTCTTTCCATTCATATCTTAACTGGATATATTTCACATTTCTTTTCCAAGCTTCTGTCTTTCTCAAAGTATGAACCACAGCAAAGATTTTTTGACTCCATCCCATTCTACCCTGTCCAAAGTTCACTGACCTTCAAATTCTCCACTTTCAAGGACCCCCTTTCCCAAGGCTGAAGGTAAATGCCTAGTGCTCCAAGAGATCAGTTTCCCAAATTTTGCTCATCAGCACATTTTTCCCTCAACATTTTCATATACGTCCTGTGATAAAGCTATTCTATGGGCGAAACATTTTGGGATATACTGGTTTATCTGGAAAAAAATTACTTTCAATCTCAGAACAGCTCAGAGTTTTTAATATGCAAATGTGTGTGGTGAATTTCTACGAGGGAGAAGAAGTATGTGGCATTTCCCAAGTGGATCTGATCTTGGAATTCTTCCTCAACTCTCTCCCTCACCATGTGCTAGGGAATATTTATTAACCACAGTTTGGAAAATGCTCTAAGCAATTTTATAACTTATTTTACAAGGTTAAAAAGTCTATATTACAACCCAGGAAAAAAGCCAACTAACATGCCAAAACATCATGGGCAAATTTTAAATCAGTTTAGAAGAGTAACTAAATAAAGGTACTCATTATTTTGATTGTATGTAACTTTAAAAAAAATTGCAGTAAGATCAGATAACATGAGATCTACCCTCTTAAATTTTTAAGTGTACATTACAGGATTGTGAACTACAGGCACAATGTTGTATAGCGGATCTCTAGAATTTACTCATCTTGCATAGCTGATGAATATACCAGTTGAATATCAACTTCTCATTTCTCCCACCCCTTTACCCCTAGCAATCGTCTTTCTTCTATTTCTGCTTCTGAGTTTGACTATTTGAGATATTTCATATAAATGGAATCATGCAGTATTTGTCTTTCTATTATTGGCTTATTTCACTTAACATAATGTTCTCAAGGTTCACCCATGTTTTTGTACAACTTCCTTCCTTTTTTTTTATAGCTGAATAATATTCCATTGTGCGTATATACGACATTTTTCTTTCTTCTTTCTTTCCTTCTTTTCTCCCCTTCTCTCTCTCTCTCTCCTTTCTTTCTTTCTTTCTTTCTTTCTTTCTTTCTTTCTTTCTTTCTTTCCAGGAGCACATGGACATGAGTGGGAGGGGGGCAGAGGGAGAAGGAGAAGGAGAATCTTATACAGACCCCACACTTAGCAAGGAGCCCAACTTGGAGCTTTATCTCATGACTGTGAGATTATGACTTGAACTGAAATCTAGAGTCAGATGTTCAACCGCCTGAACCACCCAGGCACCCCAACATTTTCTTTTTTCATGTGACTTTTTTTGTGATTAAATTTACTGAGGGATATAAAGAAAGAACCATGGTTTTTAGCCTCTGCTGTCATCAGGCGTTTCTGGACCTCACCACCTAAACCCTGTTCCTCCTGCCCAATTACTTTTCCATTAGTTTTTCATTTTCTTCAAATACTGAAGATATTTCTTATGACTATTTCACATATTTCTTATGATTATAAGTTATCTTATGAATTCCTTAAATGAGTTACATGTTTATTGCTTGTTTCTATCACTAGAAAACAGTTCCATGAGGGCAATATCTTGTCTCTCTGATTCATGTCTATATTTTCAGTGCCTAGAACAGTGCCTGGCATATCATATGTAGTCAGTAGATATTTTTTTTGATGGAAAGAATAAATAGATCAATAAAATCATTAGCTAAGTTTTGATTTTTGATAATGAAATGTTTATTGTAATAATAAAAGACTTAGGTAAAGGAAAGGTTGCTTTTTAGTAGCTTTAGATAAGGCAATTATGACAATCTTTTGATTTTTAATGGAGTAATTCCACTCTAATAATATAAAAGGAGAATTATTGATGTGAAACTCAAATTGTTGTTTTGTAGACTCACTTTTATTATGATTTTTAATATTGTCTAAAGGACCCAAAAAAAGACATATAATATTTTTTTACATTTATTTATTTTTGAGAGATAGAGAGAGAGAGAGAGCGTGAGAGGGGAGGGGCAGAGAGAGAAGGAGACACAGAATCTGAAGCAGGCTTCATGCTCTGAACAAGTTTTCAGCACAGAGCCCAACACAAGGCTCGAAACCAAGAACCGTGAGATCATGACCTGAGCTGAAGTTGGATACTAAACCGACTGAGCCACCCAGGCACCTCAAGACATATAATTTTTAAAATAAGACAAGTATGTGAAAAATGCTTGGCATGTAAGTAGGCCTTATATAAATACTAATTTTTCTAGCTCTCTAACTTTAAAAAGCCTCTAAAAATGATGCTATATTACATTGATGCTATATGTTTGGTATAGTACAAAGTTCTTTGACTTGGACAAATCAAAAAACCATCATTAACAGTGTTTTTTCTTTTTTTAAAGCACACTTGTTCTAAAAGAAAGCTTGTGTTCTATATTTGCATTCATATATGAACGACAAGCAAGTGTTAAATATGTGCAGAGCATAAATGTTGCTAATTTATGGATCCTGGTAATTTTAGAGGCATGGGAGAAGTCTGATTGAAATGTAGGATTTTTGTTGGATATTACATTAGATTTATTCCACTTTGCCCAACAAAATAAAAGAAGTCAGCAGGCATTATTTTTAGAGGGAAAGGATTCATCCAGGAATCGAAGAAGGTAATTGTCAGAGGTCCTTAGGATATAATGTGATTTGAGATTGCACTAAAAACTTACAAAGTCTATTTCTGGGTATTAAATGGAAAACTATTTATATTTCACTTCAGCAGACTTTTATGTGGTTTAAAATGTTTTCTTATTTACCTTGTCCACATCCGGTCCCCATTCTTGTCTTTTCTATCTTCTCATTATCTCCCTCTAGGGGTTTGTTTGTTTTTACCTTTTGCTTTTATCCTTATTGGTGGAAAGAAGTGGGTCAGTGTTACTTTAGTTTGTCTTCACTTTCACTCTGCTGTTCATTCCTGAACTAGCTTTTAGCCTCTGGGAAAGAAGAAAGTAAAAATATTTAGAGAAACTGGGCCAACCTCTTGACGCTCCCTCCCCCAAAGGAAACAAAACCTAACCAACGGCAACAGCAGTTCCTCTCTGTTCTCTTACAGCACCTTGTTATTTCTCACAAAGCTCAGAGTTTTATTATAACAAGTTATTGACTATCTTTCATCCAGCTAGACTTTCAGCCCTTTGAGGACCTAGCGTATTGCCAAGAACACAATACAAAGAAATTAAAAGAATAAATGCTGCGTGCGTGAACGCTGCACTGCTACCCCACCCAACCACTCATCATAAAGGAGAAAAGTTGCAGTCAGCATGCTCAGGTGTGGGCCCTTTAAATCAGCTCTCTAGAAAACCAGTAGAGAACTGCGGCATTGATATCTTAATTACATCATTACTTGGATAATTTAAGCAAGAGTTTTTGTTTTGTGGGGGGCGGGTGGGAGGAAGATGAAGGGGCTGAATTACTCAGGTAATTTTCCTCCCTAGTCGCTGTGTTGCGTCACTACGTAACCATCGCACTCGGGTGGGGTCTTCTCACCCCCCTCTCCTCCCTTGGGTGGCTTCGGGAGCCCTGCAGGAGAGACAGAGGCGCCCACCTCGGGGCGGGGGGTTTCCCGGGGATACCCCGCCCCGCCCTCTAGGCCCCGCCCCCAGGCCGCCGGCTCCGCCCCTCCCGCCGCCGCCGCCAGCAGGGGTCGCGCTGCCCGCGGCAAGCCGCTCAGGCGGGGGTGGGGGAAGCTCCCGCGGCGGGTCGCTTTTCTCCGCTGCCGCTGGTTGGATCGTTTCAATAAAAGTCTTTTTTCTCGCTCGCTCGCTCTCCTCCGGGGAACAGGCGGAGGCGTCAGTCCGCAACCGCCGAGTGAGAAAGCGACGCACACGCAGAGAACGAAAGCGGCCGTCCGCGGTCTCCCGAGCTCCTCACGGTCCGGCCGCAGAGAAGAAGGAGCCCTCGTCCGGGCGGGCCGCCTCAGCCGGGCGTCACCTCCCGACCCGCCTCACTCCCGCCCAGGCTCCTCCGAGGGGATTAGTGGGCTGCCCGCGCGGCCCGGCGGCCCGGGAGCCATGTTGTCCGGGGGGCTTGGCAACGCGTGAGGGACCCGCGGCCCCTCCCGGAGGCTCCGGACCCTCGGCGAGAGCCGGAAGGCAGCGGCGGAGGCCTGCGCCTCGGAGGCGCCTCGGGTCTGCCAGCCGCCGGGACCCGGACCTGCATCCGGTCGCCGCGGGCGTCGGCAGAGCAGCTCACCCTCCGCGCCTCGCTTTGCGACGCGGCCCCCGCACTTGCTGGTGAGTTGGTGGCGGACGGCCGCGCGGGGCTTTTCCTGCCGCCGGGCGGACCCCGAGCCGACGGGTGCGGGAGGGTGCTTGGGACCGAGGGCCGGGGCCGGAGGCGTTGGGGGCCCGCTGGAGGCTCAGGCCCGGCCGGGAAGTTGAGAGAGGGAGGCGCGGCATAGGGAGCTCGTGAGTGCCGTCGCCCCTCTCATCCAGCGCGAACCCCGGGGCGCCCAGGCATTTCCGGGGTGGGGTGGGGTGCGGGTATGTGATGGGCTTCTTCGCGGAAGGCGCTTCCAGCCGCAGCCTCTTCTGTTGCTTGCTGCCCATTTGGTCTCCGGGGGAGGCCCAGGAGGAAAGAGGCAGAAAGTCCCCCGAGATACAAAGATCCCCCTCGGCGGGGGTGGAGCTGCAGGCGCGGGCGGCGGAGGGGAAAGGAAGGGCGCTAGTCCGCGGGAGGTGGGCGAGGAGGCGGCGGTGGCCGCCGCGCTTCCAGCTCCTTGGAGACGCTGGGGGTGTGAGCGGGCGGCGAGCGCGGAGGAGGAGGAGGAGGAGGAGCCTTCGCGTGGGGAACCGGGCCGAGACAAAGATCACCGCAGCCTCCCGCTGGCGGGTCACACCCCTGAGTGTTGGTCAAGAGCTGAGGTGGAGGGAGTGTGGGAAACCCAAAGAGCCGATGGGGAGGGGAATATGGGCAGCTGCCAAGTATTGTCGTCTGCGTTGCAGTTGCTTTTCTCAGCATTTTCGTGCCCGATGCTTTTGCTCCCCAACTCAGCTGGATAGCTCCAGATTCCTTTCCGTCACCACCTCACGGCCACATTGAGTCCCTTGTGGTTTTCCCCTCATTCTCCCCCTACTTTTCACCCACTCCTTTTCGGGTAAGCAGTGTTTTGCCTTCAGCTTGGGGGAACGTTTTTTAATGACAGGATGCCTGAGCTTGTTCTGACCCTGAACTGCCTTGAACTCCTCTCTCTTCCTCCCACCCTTTCCTTTCTGGGATCTTAGAATGTCACATGGCCACCAACAATTAGCTTTTCTTCAAAAATGGCAAAAACACTTAGCTGAAATGGTGGCGCTCCTATTTTATAGTAATTCGTCCACTAAAGACATCACCACTTTACTTAGCCATGTAAATTTTCTAGGTAACAAAAGTGGCAAATTTTGAGCCTTCGCTGTTTACCTGGAGTCAGCAAAGTGTATTCCTGGCTGCCAGACCTTCTGACACTTACCAGGAAATGCTTGACTTAAAGACAATTCATTCCTCAAACTTTGCTGATTCTTGAGTCTTTGTTGAGGGCTTTCTTTTAAAAGGCACTTGTGTAAGAAGGTCAGAGTAACAAATTTGAGTTACTGTATCTTAGATTTCTGTTAACCATTGGACAGAAGTAAATGAATGGGATTTTAAGATCTTTAATGCCTGGAGTCAACGAAAGCCTCCGTTGAAGCTAGAGACAAGGTTCAATCAAATTTTAAGAAAATTTGTTAGCATTGGTATTATTTGTTTTGTTTGTTAACGAAGTCATATCAATCTTTGTAATTCTAATGTCTGCATGCTTCCAAAAACAACGGTTGTTAACAAAAGAAAAAATTTTGGGTATATTTAAGGAAAGTTTTTTCTTTTTTTTTTATGAGGGAGAATTTGGAATATAAAAGTGTTATCCTTTTATCTGGTGGACTGTCTCATAGGCCAGAAATGCTAACAGTTTGAATGCTGGACTTCAAAGAAAATAGCTGATCCTTTGGATTTAGCTGTTTTAAAATCTCCGTATATGTGTGTACACACACACACACACATATATACACACATAAAATATTTTACATCAAAAATAGATATTGAAGCATGAGTGGAAAGGAATTAAATGTAAAGACTGATATAGGGATGCTGCTGTTATTATTCTGAGAACAGTCCTATTTTGCTGCCATTACAATGTTTGCGCTATAAAAATTGTGAAAGGGATTTCATTTTAGGGATTTCATTTCCTGCCTCTGAATTGTGGGACTCCGTACCTCATTCTTACCAGTTAATACATTTCAGATATCTCTGTGAAATTAAAGGTCATATCGTTAATGATCAGTGTTTTGTATAGCATATTTAACAAAAGACCAAATTGAAGATACATTGGTTTTTTTCTACATGTTTTTTTAGTGTCTAATTAGATTATGAAATTTAATTCTCTGAAGGAAATCTACCAAAAAGTTAACAAAGATTTCTGGGTGGTGGGATTTATGGATGAATAAAAATACAGTTCTGTATTTTTCCAAAATTTTACATTCCTTTTGTAATAAGAAAAAAAGTATATCAAGTATAAAGCTTTATTAATAACCTAATTTTCCTATTACTAGGAGAAGCCCCCATAAAGAGTTTATTCTCATCCTTGAACTCTGACCCGAAAAAAGTCACTTTCAGGTGTTAGGTATTTGAAATAGTGTAGCCTGCCAGATGTGCTCTGCTTACCTGAAGGGAGAAAGATACATAGTAAGGAAAGATGAAATTGAAAGAATTGATTCAGTATATGGTAGGGATCCAATATATGGTGGTAGCTTTGTAATCTTGTTCTGATAAGTCATTGGTTTTACAAAAAATAGAAAAGTTAAATTTTATTTTCTCTGTAGTGTTGACTAAACATTTTAATGTATTTGTTGATATATTTTGTTTTTAGATATTGCTTCAGTCCTATGATTAGGGTGGAAAGAGATGGCATAAAATAATTCACTTTGTTGAGGCTTTTGTTTTTCTCCCTTATTTTCAGTAATACTTCCCTCCTTTTTCTTTATTGATGAAATAGTACTAACTAAACAACTGTGAAGATATTTTACTGTGAATGGTAGAAACTATAATGGCAAGAAGATAATCAGCAGTGAAGATGATGTCCCTTAATATTATAAAACATTATCTGTGAACACAAAATTTTTCCCCTGGCATTTTCTTTGTTATTATCTAATAGTATTGAATATTTATAAGGCATTACATTTTGAATCTTTATTACTGTTCTGTAATCTTTATAAAATTGGAGCATCATGTCATGGCATTCTTTTTTATAGCTTTTACACTTTCACGGAGGATAATTACTTACATGAATTGCTGTGTTGTAGAAAAGGGACGTTATAGGTTAAATTCAGTTAATAAAAATATTCATTAGAGTATTTTATCTATTTTAGAAATTGTCTCCTTTCATATGTGTGAAGAAAGAATAGTTTTGAGGTTGTTTGAATTTTGAATGTGTAATTTTTGCTTAAACTTTAAATGGAAAAGTTATTTAAAGTGCAGTTTATAAACTGACGATAGCATTTTATGTTTCATTATATCTTTTTAATGTTTATTTATTTTTGAGAGAGACTGAAAGAGACAGAGTGCAAGTGAGGGAGGGGCAGATAGAGAGAGGCAAACACGAAACACGAATCTGAAGCAGACTCCAGGCTCTGAGCTGTCCTTGATGCAGGGCTCAAATCCAGGAGCTGAGATCATGACCTGAGCTGAAGTTGGATGCTCAACTGACTGAGCCACCCAGGAGCCCCAGCATTTTGCATTTTAAATGATAAACAGTAGGTTTATGGCATTTAAAATTGTGCTTTATATAGTATTTATGAGGTTTAAACATCGCCTAAATAGAAAACTTTGTGTAGGTTACTAGCATTTAACTTACAGTGTTGGCAGTTTCTTTGAACTGGTGAGGAGGGGACCTTTTTAAATTTCTATTTACAATATTTAGCCAAGAATTCTTACTGTCATTACTGGATTCTTTGTTATTATTTTGCTCCCAGCCTTTTTGGTTGCCAACTACTTTCATATCCGAAATATTGACCTAGAAAGAGTAATTGCCAAGGACCAAGAAAATGTATTGAATATATATACCTGAGTGTAGCTCACCTTTCCTAGTCTGTTTCTCTCTCTCTGTTGGCCAACTTGGAAAATAAATAAATACTTAACAATAAATCTAATGGGAATGTGCCTGCTATAATTAATGTTATATTCTATTGTAACCTATGATACTGAATACTGTAAGTGAGGAGGTAGGTTTACAGATCTATGGCATATTGGGATGAGTGAAAATTACCTCACTCTCCAAAGTCTCCTTTTAAAATTACTTTTTTGGGGTGCCTGGGTGACTTAGTTGGTTAAGTGTCTTGACTTCAGCTCAGGTCAGGATCTCGAGGTTTGAGCCCCGCATTGGGGCTCTGTGCTGACAGCTTGGAGCCTGGAGCCTGCTTTGGATTCTGTCTCCCTCTCCTTCTTCACCTCCCCTGCTCGCACTGTGTCTCTCTCTCAAAAATAAATAAATATTAAAAAAATAAAATTATTTTTTGATGTAAACTATATGTAAAGGAAATTAAACTCAATTACCTCTTTTTCTAGTACTATGCCAGGTGTTACTTTGTTTAATCCTCATAGTAAGCTAATCATATAGGTATTGTGCCTGTTTACAAATTAGGACACAGAGGCCCTAGATTAAGTGATGGTCTCCAAGGTCCTACTTCTTTGATGAAGCTGAGATTCCAGTTTTGGTGTTCAGACCACTATATTAGGCTGCCTCCATGGGGACATGATGTTAAAAAGTCTGTTATGTTAAGTGTCTGCTATAGAGAGAACGAAAAAGTGATACATTAAAAAACTCATCAAAATTAGATTTAAATTCCATTGAATTAGCTTTACTACACACAAAAAAATTGAACTATACAAAATATATAATAGAGGACATATTTATAGCTCAATATGAATTAAAGGTACTAGAAAGATACTGAAAATATTTGTAGATTTATTTTTAATCATGGACTTATCAGTTATTTTGGGGGGGCATAAAGTAAAATGAATGTTGATGCTGAAAAGCAAAAATAATTATACTGTATATTTACTCTCATTTTTACTTCTAAGTTTTCTTATTTATTTTGGTTTTACATGTGTTAAAATTAGTTTGCATTATTTCAGCATATGCCATAAATGGGGAGATGGCTCAGATGCATGCTGTGTAGGTTGCTTCAGTATTGGGTGAGAATTTTGCTTTAAGGTAGACAAATTTTATATCTATATCTGTACACATATAATTGTTTATTGGTTTTTGGTTTTGGAATTGCTTACTTAGTTAAGTAAGTGTAGATTTTGATCTTGTGTTTTTATTGCTATATGGCTATACACCCCTGAAAATGGAAATATCAGAGCAGATTGTACATTTCTGGTAATAACTTTTTACATTGAAAGCCAGTCCTTATGATGTTATTGTTGATATATATCCTATCTGTTGTTCAATTTGAAGAAGAGAAAATTTATTGAATTGACTAAAAGTACTCCATTAAAGTGGAAAAGCAATGAAAGCAGATTTTCTTTTGTTGTCATAAAAGCTAATTTGGAAAAGGTTTTTGTCAACCCCTTTTTTTTAACTTAAAAAAAAAATGTACGCTCTAAACTCAACATGGCGCTTGAATTCATGACCTTGAGATCAAAAGTTGCATGTTATACCAACAGCCACCTACTTGCCCCTTATCAGCTTTCTAACAGCACATTTTTATTTCTCTTTATGCACTTATTAGCATACTTTCAAGAGTACTCTTAATTTTAGATGCATATTTGTAAACAGTGGGAAAAGGAACCAAGAATAATTTAACTGTATTCTAGGCTAGTGACTAGCTCACTTCGGTCTTCTCAATCACATATTTAGTCTTTCTATTCTTATAATTGATGCTTATTATTTGTTAATGTGTGTTAATATTAAATAATGTAAACAAAGTTTGGTAAAAATTGATATTAATATTTGTGAAAAATAATTAGGTAACAACATTGAAGCTCTTATTACTCCAAATTTAGAGGCATTATCCTTTAAATTAGTATGTAAGATAAATTAGCTAATATATATTTTTAAGTATTATCTTTAAACCTTTACCATAA